TCCCAAACCATGACACTTCCACCTCCGTGCTGCTTGGTTTATCCCGTCCTGTGTTCTGGTGCCCAAATAATTAAAAATCATGTTTTTGGAGAGTAAAGTTTCCCCTCCAGGTTTCTGAAGGTGAACTTGTGTAACCAGTGGCACCTGTCAGCTCCACCCTCTGATTAAAGATGGAGCATATAAAGGTGTTGGTGCAGAAACCTTTGGCAGAGCTCTGATTGGGCTGTTGGAGTGCGCGGTAAGAAATAACTTTTTTCTGTTGCTTTGGTGTTTTTTTCTGAAACTCAGTGCTGTTTTAATGTTTTTAATGTGTTGCGTGTCTGGATGCTGCAGTGGCCACACAGGATTTAAGGTTTTTCTACATCATTCAGCTGCAAGTGAGCGTGGCGACCTCTCAGGTAGTTTATTGGTTTTTATCCATTAAATTTTGATAATTAAAATAAATTGTACGTAGAAGTGTCTAGTTATTGAGATTTGAATATTTTTTATAGTTTCAGGTGTACTGTCTCCTGCTGTCTTTTTTTGAGTGCAGTTAGTCAGTTGTTGTCTTTAGTCTGCCCAGCCTTGCATGTTTTGTGAGGGCGGACTACCTACCTTTGTCTTTTTTGTTTTGTTTGCCACTTCCAGCCGCCTCCCTTAATGACACCAGATGTCATTTATAGCCTTAATGTCTAGGAAGTCTGGCCCGGCTCACGTGAACCTGAAGGTTGGACCTAACTGGACTGTGCTGCTGGTTAAACTTTGCTTCTTTATCCCAGGTTCTCTCTGACCTGCAGGCTGCAGCGTTGGCTTTAAGTTCCATATTTATCCATTAATAAACTGCCTATACATTGACGTGACCGTTACCAAACTTGCTTTCAACACTTGTTGAGTCTCTTTCTGGTCAGACATGAACTCCCCAGTCAACAGTAGAGAAGCTGCTGTATCTCATCGTGACGCTCAGTGTTTTCTGTAAACATCCTGTAGCTGCTTGGACAGCCAGACCTTTACATGTCCATCACTAACAGACGATTTTAGATCATTTGGGATGTTTTCAAATCCCTAACCAGACTCGTCAGAGACCAGCCTCACTTCAATAGCCAGGACTAACAAGCATAAGATCTGAGGTCTAAACTTTAGTTATGTGCTCATGTGTTGTGATATGCAGAGTGAAATTTGCATAAGTTTATCTAAACAGGCAATCTGAAACCATCAGACCCTTCACAGCTCTTCACTGTCCGGTTTAGAGCGACGATTCAGTCCCTGCAACCATCTGATCGTCAGCAGTCGATCTAAAATCAGCTCAGCGTGTCTCAACCAGGAGCTCTGGCAGATCTCCCAGACGTCCCAGTCCAAGTAGAGGACAATCCTTCTCCAGTGTTTTAGGTTTCTAACATTTGGATCGTTTGGTTTGGTCTCATGGTCCTGATTACATTGGTGATCGTTGATTTCAGTCTGAACAAGTGTACCGGTACTGTTCTCACATTCTGAATGAGTCTTAGCATGCTCTACTAGCATAACTTACTATATTGATATTGGCAAGACCCTTTAGCATGCCCTACTAAACTAGCATTCTACCTAGCATGTTCCATTACTGGGTTCCAATAACCCTTTTCTATTCACCTGTTTATCTAGCATGCTCCATTAGCATGTTTATCTAGCATGCTCCATTAGCATGTTTATCTAGCATGCTCCATTGGTGTGTGTGGAGAAGCCATCTTGGTGCCTGCTCCTCATTCTGAAGGTTTCTGACTGGTGGATCTGACTTCAGTTGTGATGAAAGAATCGGATAATTCAGAGAAACATTAAATCAGTCCCACAGACAGACTGGTGGAACCACAGCTCAGTCCGTGTTTTCATCTTTGTCTATTGCGTCTTGTGGTTTCTGCATTAAGATGGAGGGTCACTGATGCTGCAGATCAAATCCACTTCCAGGTAAAAATAAAGTGACTTCTGGCCACTTACGCAGAGCTGCAGGTCTAACGAGGTAATCGGCCAAACTGACCGCTGGGCGAAGCGTCTGGTGCTACTCGGGTGAAGCAGCCTGGCCAACGTGGAGGCTGTTGCTGCTGGAAGAGGCGGACGGAGTTATTGGATCCCATCGCTGTATGTGAGTGGGATGGTGGACTTGGACTGGGACAGAGGACTGGGTTTGATCTAGGACAGTCAGATCAGAAATACTTCGTTGATTCCAAAGGGGAATTAAATGTAGTCGCTCATATTAATTCAGATTGTTCAGAGTTACTGTAGATGCTGCTGGAGGAAGGAGCTCCTTTAGCAGTCTGTGTTACAGCAAATCTGAAGAAGCCTCTGACTAAAGACACTCTGTACTCCCAACATCCATCCATTTTCTTTACACCCTTGTCCCTTAGTGGGGTCAGGAGGGGTGCTGGTGCCTATCTCCAGCTAACGTTCCGGGCGAGAGGCGGGGTACATCCTGGACAGGTCGCCTGGACGGGTCGCCTGGACGGGTCGCCAGTCTGTCGCAGGGCAACACAGAGACAGACAGGACACACAACCATGCACACACATTCACACCTAGGGGCAATTTGGAGAGGCCAATTAACCTAACATGTTTTTGGACTGTGGGAGGAAACCGGAGAAAACCCACCATGCAAACTCCATGCAGAAAGTTCGAACTCAGAACCTTCTTGCTGCAGGGCGACAGCTGTACCGACTGCACCACCGTGCAGCCTGTACTCCCAACATGTCAGAATTTACTTGGTTTTATGAAGAATCCTTTACATCGTTATCTCCAGAGGTTCCACAGTCAGAACCAGACAGAACCAGACAGAACAAGACCACAACCAGACCAGAACCAGACAAGACCAGAACCAGACAAGACCAGAACCAGACCAGAACCAGAACCAGACCAGACAAGAACCAGAACAGAACCAGAACCAAACAGAACCAGACAGAACAAGACCAGAACCAGACCAGAACCAGAACCAAAACCAGACCAGAACCAGAACCAAACAGAACCAGACCAGACAAGACCCAGAACAGAACCAGAACCAAAACCAGACCAGAACCAAAACCAGAACCAAACAGAACCAGAACCAAACAGAACCAGAACCAGCCTTCTTTATAAGGTTGTTGAGCCTTTTCAGGTCCTGGTTCTGATGCCGCTCTCACCAACAGACTGAAGGATTTTTATCTTCCTCCAGTTGCTCTGATCTGGTTCCGGTTCTGGTTCCGTTCCTCTTCTGCTGCTTCTCCAGTCCAGTCCGTCCAGATGAACGGCGAGGGTTTTATATTCCTCCACTTCTTCTCCATGATGGAAACAGAGTTTGACCTTTGACCCTGTTTCTCCTGAAATCATCTCCTTTGTTCTGCTTCCATCCCAGATGATTTGATTGTTCCCTCCGTCCTCTGGTCCATGTCAGACAGAACCAGCAGCTGCAGAGTAATCAGAGTATTTCTGTAGATGACAGCAGCCTGACTGAGGTGTAGAGAGAGGAAGTAAAGGTGAGAGTCCAGAGCCCTGAGGTTCTCTTGTTTCGGCCTGCAGTCTGTTAGTGAGGCAGCCGTAGATATAGATCACATAGATTAGACTAGATTGATTGTATTCATTTATAGAGTCTGATGGACTTCCTGCAGATCAGATCAGATCAGATGATCCTCAGAGCTGCTGCTCCGTCCAGGTGGCAGCAGGTTTGATGGAGCAGGTGGATGATGGCGTCTCCATGGCGATAAGCAGACAGTCTTCCACAGCAACAGAACTTTCTGTTGGGTCGGGCTGATGCTGCAGAATCCCACAGAACTGCTCCACAGCTTCAGGCCTGCAGGCCTCTGGGACTGACATCATCTGGACCCGGTTCTGGTTCTGCCTCTGCAGTTCTAGAGACTGAACAGTGGGAGGTGGAGGGAGCAGTAGGTCCTGATCTGGTTGGAGACAAACTTGTAGCAGCAGAAGAGTTCATGACTGAGGAGGGAGATGGAGCATCTGAGGTTAACCAGTTTAACCAGTTCATCTGAGGGTTAAGCTGAGGGTCAGAGGAAGGTGGGATGATGATGATGATGATGACCCTGAACCTGTCTGAATGTCTTCAGCTCTTTTGAACCTTCCAGGCTTCCGTCCATCTGATCCTCCTTTTGCTCGCAGCCTGAGATCTTCTTCCTTCCTGATTCTCTGATTTGGTTCCTCTGCAGTTTCTCCTCCAGATTCTTGCTGTTCTTCTGTCTCTAATCTGGACTGCGGCTGCTTGTTTCCTCCTCAGCGACGCCCCGTCTCGTCCCTAAAGGCTCTTTGGTTCCTTCAGGTCCCTGCTGATCCAGGGTTTGTCATTCAGGAAGCGTCTCTCTGCTCTGGTGGCGATGCTGCCGTCCACAGAGCTTCATGTCAGTCATGGCTCTGATGTCGTCTCCATGAGGCTGGCACAGAGCGATCCGATCAGTTGCTTCACACCAGCCTGGAGGGCCTCTTCTGCTCCCTGTTCCTAACAGCCATCTTCCCAACAGCTCGTCTCTTCACCACCAGAGACTCATATTCAGAGCAGAGAAGAACCTATCATGGTCCCATCTTGGGCGGGGCGTTGGCGAACACGTCAAGCCTCTCAGGAAAACGATTTACCAGAAGTTTGGCCCATTCAGCCGTCAGAGTGATTTCTGAATCCCAGCTGAAAGTTGAACTCTGCACTTTCATCTGGTGATGCTGTAAGTGGTGATCACTCACTCTGTCCTTTAGAAAACTTTCTGAGGAATCAGGTGTTGGACTTCTCCTCCCTCGGCTTTGTGGGGTATTAAAAGGAGGACGAAGCATCCTTCTGCTCTGCAGAGACTCTCAGTGGAAGGAAAACCTCATCTCTTAAAATCCTTTTGATTCTTTCTGCCGTTTGTTCTTCTCAACAAAACCCGCTGGTTCCTACTGGGACTGATGGTTTGTTCTTTTCTCTCCTTATTTCTTGCTTCTAATGAGCAGCAGCTGAAGTCAGTTCAGCTGACCCGAAGGCCTTCAGATCAAAGAGATGAGCTTCAGCAGGTGAACATGGAGGTTCGATGTTGGGATCCCATTCGTTGTGTTGGAGTCGGTAGAAATGTGTTCCTGTTTCAGGACAGTTTCTATAAAACTGATAGGAAGAAACTCATCAAGAGCAACTTTTGTCTCAGTTTGCTCCGTCCTTCTGGATCAGCGGTGGCGGTCTGAAGTGCCGTCAGAGTTCCTGTGCTGCCCTCCAGAGCGTCCTCCACCCGTCACTCCGGATCTGGGACAGATGGGTCCTCTGGTGGCCGTCCCCATCCTGGCCGGCCTGAACGGCGTCCTGGGCATGTGGGCCGTGTGAGTCTCCTTCTTCCTCATTCATCACCTGCTGGCCTCCAGTCAGAAGCTTCATACATAAAGACACTAAACAATTAGATGTTTCTGTTGATGTGAAGTTAGAAAATTTGAATTAGTTTCTATACAAATATAATAAGATCTCCCTGTAAAGAGCCTCTGTCCTCTTCTGCTCTGCAGTGGGAGGTTTGACTGACAGACCAACTGGTCTGAACCTTTACAGTTAACAATATTCACCCCCTGTTGCAACTCAGTGACTTTCTTGCTACATTTAGCAACATTTCAGACAAAAAAACTTCATATCAGCCAAAACCAAAATCAGCAGCTCAGGCTTTTTAAAGATCGGTAACCAGGGATCGGCCAGAAAACTGCAGCCCTACACACACATTCATGACATTCTCTGATTAAATTCATTTCTCTTAAACGTAACTCCAATAGCTAAAAATGTAATTTATACCAGGTGAGTCTTTTTTCAACTTAGAAGTCGATGTAAAAATAGTTTGTTTTAGCCACAAAATGCTTCTGCTCAGCAGCAAACAGCAAATCCCAGCTACAGCCCAGAGCAGCTCATCCATGTAGCCTGACGTAGAAACATTTAGCTAGACACAATGTCTGACAGTGAGAAGTTTTAATTATTATCAAACCTTATCAAACTCGGCGTTTTGAAGCCAAAAATACCTCAGAAATATACAGAACCACCATGAGAATCAACTCATTTAAAGTTAAACTCAGTTTCACACAGAGAGCCTAGCATAAATGTCTGGCTGTTGAACTGGACCGGTCCAGGTCGCTATCAGGCTAATTTCTGTTAGCAGCTTTGCTAATCTTTACATCACCAAGGCTCATTAAAACAAACCTTTATCTGGGCTGTTTTCTGTTCTTCCTCCTTCTTCTCTCCCTCCCTGAAGGATAAGTCCTTTTCTGAGACATTGTTTTGCTAACTTAGCTTCTGACCGGAGCTTTGGACGTTTGGATGCTCATTGCAGCTCATTGCAGCCCTTAGTGGCCCTGGGGCCCTAAGCAGCTGCTTAGTTTGCTTATGCCTTGGGCCGGCGCTTGGTGCCACACAGCATCCTTCCACAGAGTCCAACCTTTGTCTCTTCTGTCCTCAGAATGTTTTTATAAAGTCTGGGGGATTCTCACTCCTGACTTGCTTTTCTCCTGACAGTGAACTTGGATGTGATAGATCACAGATCAGTTTTGTTTTAACAGGTTTAACTTGCAGGTTTGGATTTTTCTTCCTAATAATAAACACCTTAATTTAAAAACTGCATTCTGTCTCCTTGTGTCGTCTTTGGCTGATCGTTAAATTGGTTGGATGTTCTGAAACACTGAAGCCACAAACATGTAGATAACAGGAAATCAGGAAGGGTGTGAATACTTTTTCACACCACTGTGTTTCTGTTTGCTGTTCAGGTATCACTCTCCTTGCTTTGGTTGTTTTTCTCCTCTCCCTCAGTCTGCCTCTACCTGCTCCCTTCCCCAGCTGCATCCACTCCCCTGTCATTAGCTCTTTGTCGTTTCTGTCTCTCCCTCAGTATTTCAGCTCCTCTTCCTCTTTTGCTCTGCTGGATTCTCCGTTATCCATTCCTGAACCTTCCTTCAGGTTTTCATATGAATATCCTACTTCCTCTGTCACATTTCTGCCTCCTTCCTGCTGTGTTTGAGTCCTCAGCATTCAGATCAGTTACTGAAAGTCCAAAGTATTTTCAGGCATGCAGACAGTGGATGGAATCACATCTGTACCTGTGCTGGATTCATGTTGTGATGATGTCGTCCTTCAGGTTTGGAGTGGCCTGGTTGAGTGGGACCGTGACCCTGACAGAGCATTTTCCATACATCAGGTGTGTAGGAAACATTTCTGGATGAAACATCCTCCTCCTGGTGATTAATGATGATGTTTGCTCCTGTTGTCAGTACGTGTGGAGACCAACCTCCTGCTAGCTGCTGGTTCTCTCAAGTCTGCAACATCGGCTGTGTCCTTGGTAAGAATGCCTGCTTCATATTCATGATCCAGTTTACAGAGAAGAAATCCAGATCACCCAGTTCAGACCAGTGTGGTTCATTCATTGTGAGGAGCGTGTATGCGAGCATGATTGACAAAGTTAAGATCTTCTTCCTGGCTCTGATTGGTTGATTTGGACTGAGTGCTGTATGTCTGCAGTTGGCACTGGGAACACTTCAGGACCAGTTTTTAGGTTTCTTCTGCACTGTTCATTTGAAAAACGGAGATGTGACAGAAAACTAAACTGCAGCTCTGCTGAATCTAAAGGTTGTTCATCATCGGTTGTGATGAAATGCTCCGTCTCTCTGCAGCTCTGATATTCGAGACTCTGCGGTTCCGACGTCTGAAGGATTGTCCAAAGTGCTCCAGCCGTCTCAACATCGCCAGCTTCAGTTTGGGAATCATCTCCTCCGTGGGATTATCCATCACCGGAAACTTCCAGGTCCGGGTCTCCAGCTCAGCAGAACCTCTGAGGGTCCAGAGAACCTGCTGGTTCTGACTGAACTCTGCTTCCTGTGTCTGTTTGGGTTTCAGGTCTCATCCATCAAATCGGTTCATTACATCGGTGCGTTTCTGGGGTTTGCTGGTGGCCTGGCCTACCTCTGGATTCAGCTGTTGCTCATCAGCAACTGGATCCTGAAATATTGCGGATACGCTCTCTGCTCCGTCTGCACTGTTCTGCTCTGCTGCCGTATCCTTTCTGTCTGGAACCGCAGGAACCAGCAGGTGTTTGTTTGGTCCATGTTGTCCTTGACCCGTCTCTCCAGTGGTGGGCTTCCATCACGCACGTCGTTACCACGCTGCCGCCATCTGTGAGTGGACGCTGGCCACGCTGTTCTTCCTGCTCTACCCGCTGTTTGTGTTCGAGTTTGCAGACATTAAATGCAAACTCACCATAAAGTCCTTGGGTTGTGGACAGCACGGGTCCACCGAGCCTCAGTACCAACCAGGAGACTCAGATTCAGCAACGCCGCTCTGACGACCCGTCTCTGTTACCATGGAAACATTCCTGCTTCCTCCATCTCATAGGAACAAAACTAATTTACCTGAAAGTCTTTAACTGTGTTTATTCCTCTAATCATCAACAATAAGTCCTGAGAATTTGGTAGCATTTGCTCTTTATTTGCCAGAGATATGAGGGGGGAACCATATATTTTAGCCACCTGAAATAATCCGCTCCCCCTGCATAAAATGGGAACAAATTAATTTATTACCAGCAAGTCTTTAACTGTGTTTAATCTTCGTTTTATGAACAACAAGTTCTGTAAATATGGTAACATTTGCTCCTTATTTGCCAAAGTTATGAGGGGGGAACCATATATTTTAGCCACCTGAAATAAGCTATTCCCCCTCCATAACATGGGAGCTAATAATTTTTTCACAAACTTGTTTATTCCTCTCGTCCTATAGGTTTGGAGACATTGGCTTTTTATTTTCCAAAGTTATTATGGGGGAACCAAATATTTTTGCTGTCTGAAATAACCTATTCTTTGTATGGGGAACAGATTATTTCAGGTGACTATAATATTTGGTTCCCCCCTCATAACTCTGGCAAATATTCAGTAAATATTACCACATTTACAGGATTTGTTGTTCATGAAGAGAAGATTAAACACAGTGAAGGACTTGCAGGTAATTTTTTTCCCCATGTTATGGAGGGGGAACGGACTATTTCAAGTGGCTAAAATATATGGTTCCCCCTCATAACTTTGGCAAATAGTGAGCAAATTTTTTCAAACTTACATGATTTATTGTTAATGATGAAAGGAATAAACAAAGCTAAAGACTTGGTAGTAAATTAATTTGTCCCCATTTTATGGAGGCGGAACAGATTATTTCAGGTAGCTGAAATATCCATTCTCTCCTTCCCCCATAACTTTGGGAAATAAAGAGCAACTGTTTCCAAATTCTCAAATTAAGATTATTCCAAGATTAATAAATTACTGGATTAAGAAATTTCCTTAATCCAGTAATCTGTCATATTTTACATTAGGACGGGATTTTCCAGAAAGTCGACACTCTCATTTTTTCAGGAAGTCTTGTTTTTTGGTGCCCTGCTATCAGCCAGTTCCATCCTCTTATATCAGAAAAGAAAAATGATAAATACACACGTGTTGGAAAACTGTGTTTGGTGACTGACTTTTATTTGGAAGAATTAAGTGTGAAAAGTAGGGAAAAGACAGATTCATTTAGTGTTTAAAATAACACAAAACAGTGTAAGAAAACACAAGACTTCGTTTATTTATTTATTTTACAATTTTGCTAGCTGCCGATTAAACTGAAAGTTATAACCTTGACATGATTATATGAGATGTTTTACCGAGAAATCCATCAGGTTTGGTCAGATCCGCCTCTCTGGCTGCAGTGCGCGCTCCCGACATAGGCGGGCAGAGTTTCACAAAGTGTTGTGGAGAAATGTCCAGGGTCCAGATTAGGTCCTTCGTTGGGTTCCACTCCGGCTCTCGCACTGCGCTCTCCTTTCTGTCATGTGGGAAATTATCCAGATTCGTCTCAATTTTTATTTTTTATCACAGCCGATAGTGACACCGTGTGGCATTATGTAAAATGACACCAGTCAAACCAATATGATCAACAACTACTGGGGTAAATTAGCCTTCCTGTGTTTACTCTGTAGACTCCGGTACAGAATGGACCTGATGACGTCATCAACCCATCGGTGAAAAAATAGCGACTTCCATGGGTGACAAATGTAACAAAAGATGTATATTTCTGAAGTAATTATGAGTTTAAGAGTATCACAAACAGCATTTTTTTAGTTAAATTAAAACATATTTAGGCCAACATGTTCTACTAGTCCTGGATCCTTTCAAGAAATAATCAGCAGGATGGAAAATCACATTTAGTTTATCAGGAACGTTCTGATGTAGAGGAATGACCCGAAGGTCCGAATACAGAACATAGTAATGAGAAACAACTTGTGGCTGAGCTCTGGTAAACCTGCCTTTCAAAATAAAAGTAAGAACATCAATAAAGAATGAAAACAGTAATAAATGATTAACATTTTAAATTCAGATTAAATCGTTGAATTTATAATGAGTTCAAAAGTCAAACTATATGAGCAGGAAACAGAAAAGTCTGAAGTTGATGAAGTCGGTCATCTGATCACAGCGGCTCGTCCTTCATCCCTGAAACGAGAACAAGCCTCCAGTCAGAGATTTACACCCCAGCTGTGGACAGGAAGTTCTGGACACAGCTTCCTGTCCACAGCTTCCTGTCCACAGCTTCCTGTCCACAGCTTCCTGTCCACAGCTTCCTGTCCAGGACCGTCTGAGTTGATCTTCTGCGCTGGACTTCCTGATTTGCAGCCTGAGCAGCGCAGAGTGAATGCTCTGCAGGAGGCCAGCCAAAAGATTCAATATTTCAGAATATTCATTGACATGTAGGTAGAATGTGGCACTGATGTTCTCTGGCTTTGGAGAACTTAATTAACATCAAATAATTAGCAGAAGCTAATGTTAACCACTGCAAGGAGCTGGAGACCTGTCCAGGGCATTTGTCAGCACCTGACCAATCAGCGTTGCAAGTACATGTACTCTGACAATTTTGACAGTATCTGTCATAGAAAACATGCTGTAGTCAGAGACATTTTGAGGAAAATTATAATCACGGTCAAAGTTGTCAGTGGGGAACATGCAAACAGCGCTAAGCCCTTCCTCCTGACTGTGATTGGTTGTGTTTGGTTCATTTCTTCAGAGATCCATCTGTTCATGGATTATCTGGTTGAGATTAAACTGCAGCAGGAAAAAAAACAACAATTTTTTCACAAAGTTACAAACTGCAGCTTTAACTGAGAAACACATTTATGGTTTGGTTCTGTTCCTCAACATCTAACCTCAATCTTTCAACGAGGATCAACCAGTCAGGATCAATGTGATTGGTTGGTGTGAAGCAGGCCGTGTTGCCATGACACTGATTGGCTGTTTCAGTCTGTAGACGATGATGTCAGAGCTCTGCTTACCTGTCTTGAAGATGATGTCATCAACGGACCGGACCAGGTGGATGGCTCCGATGGCCGACGCTTCGCCTCTGGAGTTGGCAGCATGACACTCGTACGATCCTTCTTCTTCTTCAGTCAGCGGGGAGATCTGAGGGGAGAGCCACAGATCTGATTGGTCCAGTAGGGCGATGACATCACCAGAGGAACACCAGGGGTCCACCTGCCGTTGACCCTATGGGTCAACCTGAGGTTACTGACCAGAACCCAGCCCGTCACTTGGTGCTTCTCTGGTCCGCCTCGGGTCTGGACAGCCAGGTTGTCCCGATCGCCAGGTAGAAGCTCCGCCCTCTTTCTGCCGCCAAGCACCTGGGAATCATCATCACCATCATCATCACCGTCATCATCACCGTCATCATCATCACCATCATCATCACCATCATCATCACCGTCACCGTCATCGTCATCATCACCATCATCATCACCATCACCATCATCGTCATCGTCATCACCGTCATCATCACCATCACCATCATCGTCATCATCATCACCATCATCATCGTCATCATCATCACCATCATCATCACCGTCATCATCACCATCATCATCACCGTCATCGTCATCATCACCATCACCATCATCGTCATCATCGTCACCATCGTCATCGTCATCACCATCATCATCATCATCATCACCACCACCATCATCATCACCATCATCACCATCATCGTCATCATCACCCTCATCATCATCACCATCCTCGTCATCAGTCCAGACAGGTCAGCGTGAAGCGGCTCACCTTCTTCCATGTGAGGACAGGTGTGGGCACCCCCACCGCCTCGCAGCTCAGGAACACCTAGGAGCCGCTGAGGTTGAACACCTGGCCTGGAGGCGTCACTATAGAGGGAGCTGCAGACAGAGATGGGGTTAGTACAGAACCTGAACAGAACCCAACCAGAACCGACCCATCTTGCCGGACCAGTGACCCGGCAGGAATGTTCTGAGCGCCTCAGTGAGCCGCTAATGTGGTTCGGAATAAAAGAGGTTATCAGAGAGAAGCCAAGCCAGACGGAGGTACAGTCGGCCCAGACCCACCGGACTGGACCGGACCGGAGCTGAGGGCTGGAATGAACAGGTGGATTGGAGAAACATCTGGATGAACAGGATGGCTTCTTACAGTTTTGGATTTTTTTTTTTTTTTTTTTTTTTTTTTTTTTTTTCCTTTTTAAAATTTTTTTTTAATTTTTTTTTTTTTTTTTTTTTCTTTTTTT